TGGGGGTTACTGGTCTCCACGATGGCAGCAGTCAGGGCTTGGTTGCAGGGTGATGGTTCCTCATCTGGATTTTGGGACAATGGGCAAAGATGCCCACCAAAAAAAAATCTGGTTTTAACTCAGTGCCCAGGCTGGTGAAATGGCTTCTCCCTGAGCATGTGTCACCTGTTTGCCTCAAAATGAAAGCCAGTGACAGCCTTGTCCGGCTGTCTTTCCCCTCAGAAAGGAAATGTTGTCCCTCCCAGTTGTTGTCCCTGCCAGTTCCTGGCAGTGGTGTGGGGGAGGCTGCTGTCTCCTTGGGCTGGGATGAGCACAAGCGGTAGGGGCAGGGAAGGGCTCTGTCCTTAAGCAACCCTCAGTCCCATATGCTGTGGGGGTGGGTTGAGGAAAAGAGGAAGACAGGTTAAATAGAAATGGAGAGAGAAAATAAAGTAGGGGAGCCAGTGAGGATCACAAGAGTAGAAAGTCAAGAGGGATGAAAAGAAGGTGAAAAGGGTTGGTTTTTTCCTGTTTTCCATAGCATTAGGGACAATGCCCTTTGACAGAGGCTTGGCAAGGGAAAGCATGAGGAGAGAGTGAGGCACCGGAAGGATCTTTGCTTCCATCCCTGTTTGTAATCTGATTCCAGAAATGGGTCTTCAAGCTGCAAGGAAGCTCTGTAGCTTTTTTTTTTTTTTCCTTTAAATAGTTTAGCACCTTTTAAATCTGGCAGAGAGTGTTCAGGGAGCTGGGCTAAGAGGGCTGGCTCTGCACTGGACCTGCCTCATGGTCTGCATCATCATTAGAGAGCATCTTCTGCCAAACAAGTGTGAGAGCCATCCCATGGCTGTCCCCCAGGGGTACTGACCATCAAAGGGCTGCTTTGCTAGATGCCAGTGGTACAAGGGAGTGGCAGAAAGGCAGGGGATGCTGCAGTGCAGTGGGTTGACACACGGAGTCTTGGATCTTGGGTAGGGCACAGTCCTGCTGGTGCAGCCTTGTTACTGAGATCAATTATTCTGCCTGCTGTGCTCTGCTGCTTCCAGGTTCTAGCAGCGGGTCTTGCACTGCATGGCATAGACATACCTGGGGTATAAAAGTAGCCAGGAGGCAAGGTACTTTGCCTCGGAGGGCCTTGGTGCTTGTTGCCTGTTTACCTGCTCCTCCTCTTCAGACCCCCAAGTCCCGGCATTGATGTGCCACTGGCTGTGTGTGGGACCTCCTCAAAGCCAAAGCTGAAAGCTTTGCTGCAGTGGAGATGAATCCATACGCAATCTTGGCCTGTTTTCACAGGACTGCAAGTGTGGCAGCTGGGAAGTGATATGTTCCTGTCTAACTAATTATTTTCCTGGGAATGAAAGACGATGGTTTTTGTTTGGTCTCTGAAATGAATCAATCATTTCTTTAGGTATGATGTGCAGACAGACATGAAGAAGCAGCCAGTGTCCTCAGCTCCATGCTCATGTTGGTGCCTGGCTGAGCAGCTTCATTTTGGGATGGGAAGCAGCCAAGATCTCTGGTTTCACTATGTGGCCATTCCTCTCCCAGGGGAGAGATGGGAGCCTCAAAACTCCTCAGAAACATCACAAAAACCGCTGACCCTGAAACCATGGAGTAATCTGCTGTTTCCAAAGTTCCTCTGTTGTCCCCTCCTTCTGGAGCCGTTTCCCAAATGGCTGACATAAGCTCAGAGCAGTTTTGGGTTCACAGAGCCTCTACATCAGTGACCTTGGGCCCACTGCAGAAACTTTCTCCTCCATGCTGCAGTATGATAGCTGCAGAATGTGGCTCCTGATGGGTTTCCATCTGTCTTGGTTGTTGCCCATGAGCAGCACAGGGTGACCTGCGGCACAGCACACAAACACAGCCCTTGGCTGTGGCCTCTGGCCCCGTGTCTGGTGACTGAGAGGAGGTGGTGGTGTATGATTTGGTGTTCTTGCCATGTATCACTTGTGAAGGGGGGTCTTTACTGTCCCTGGGGGGCTGGTAAGACTAGGTTTTGGGGTATTTTGGGTACTTACTTGGCAGTGGTGGATTAATGGTTGGACTCAATGATCTTAGGGGACTTTTCCAACAAAAATGATTGAATGATTCTATGAAGTAACTGATCAGCTTGAAGCGCTCACAGTTGGATGAGGGCAAAATCCAATTACTTGTCTTTATGTGTATTAAGACTCATTTAATATGTCTAATTAACATGCTGGAGAAAAAGAACTATTTTTGAAGAGAGGGACAGTCTTAACAGACATGCTTGTAGAAGCGCTCAGTGCTGCCCATGTACACAATTTTTTTTTTTTTTTTTTTTTTTTTTTTTTAGATACAGGGTTTTTTGTAGGTTCCTCATCCAAATCAACCTTTTGCTTCTCAGTGTATTGTGGGGGTAGTTAGGCTGACTTAGCTCCTCAGGGCCACCACTGCCTTTCAAATGCCAGTTGTACTTAGTTCTGGCAGAGGAGCCCAGGAGCACCTGTGCCTGGAGTCCTGGGTGTCCTCCTCATACCGCTGTTTTACCAATCCCTGCAAGGAAGTCACTCAGGTTTAAGCTGCCATCTCCTTCACTGGGAGTATTGCCTTATTCAGCAGTTTGGTCACTAGGATCTTGGGGCAGACGAAGTGTTACAGGTAAATGGGTTTGCTGGAATTCTTCCTCTGCTGCAACGTTTTCTTAATTTTTCGTGTGTTTATCCTCAAAGCTGACAATAAAGAGTTCCTGTTTGTGGGCAAAGAGAATGATGAAAACTGTACTGGGGGGATGACACAAGATAGAAAAGGCAGCCCCATCAGGAACTTCATTGGCACCGCGAAGGAGTGGCAACTGTATCGTTAGCTCTTTCATAACTCAAGGGAAACCGTCCATAAAACACTGGCACCAGTCCACCAGCCCCAGTATGAGCTCAGCCTCTACGCTTCTACATTATTTATTCTATTTCCCCCCCACCCCGAGCTCTGTTGCTTTGAAATGTGTAAGTGCCTGTGAAACACTTGTGCACTTGAACGTGTCCACAGCATCATTTGCAGGGTCTGCCTGCTCTGCCTGGGTAAGCTGTGCCTCTGAGCGCATCTGGAGAAGGGCACATCAGAACAGACAGACATCCACAGCAGGAGGGGAGCTACATGGAAAGTACCCAGGTAATTGAGATGTCTGGAGACTGTGCCAGTTAGGAAAGGCAGTAGAGCAGCTCATAATTTATTCTGTGTGTTTGGAGTGACTGATATGGAGCTGCAGGGCCTGTGCAGGCTGTTGCCTTATGCAGGGTGAAATTGGGCATGTTTTACTCCTGGGAATAGCCCCAAGGTAAAGATAAGCATGTATTTTTCTCAGGTGAGTAGTTATCCCTTAACTGCAGACCACTAGATGGCCAGTTTTGCCTCTTGCTCTTTACCCGTGTGCATGAAGGAGACCTTGAGTCCTGCCTGCTCCTTCTCTCTCTGAGCCAGAGTTCTCCAGCAAACCTCTTGAGGAAAGAGCTGAAAGGAAAGAGTAGAAGGAGAGTGCTGGGCACCCTGTTGGCCTGGAGAGAAGCAGGTGTGAGTGAAAAGGAGGAGGGGACCTCCATGCTGAATCGAGCACTCTGCATTTCAAAGGCTTCTGAAAGTTGTTCATCACCCCAGAGCAACCAATGGTCTCCCCAAATGGTCTCCCCAGACAAAGTTGGTTCATCTTCTGGGCAGTGCTTATGTATCATATGAAAGCGAGAAAGAGTGAAAAGTTGACCTCGGGGCTTTGCTGCCTTGTCTATTCTTCTAATAGGCTGCATCTTAAAAGCACATATTGAATGTTTGATATTCAATGAGGAGCTAACTTGGCCTACAGTCATATACCATATTAGCACAGTATTCATTCATATGCATGGAGATATATAGATATTCAGCCATGTGTTGTTCGTACTGGCACTTTCTACCAAGGGAAATGGCATACATAGGAATATATAAATACTTTAGCTTTTTTATACCAGTAGTTTCAAATTTCTATTTCAGCTAATGTAGAGAGAGAGTCAAAGAGACTGATCAACAGGCAGCAAAAAAAAAAAAAAAATCTATAAAATCTTGCTTTGTGGTTCATCTGATAAAGGAAATATGTATTGTGTGAACCTTGTTTCTCATCAGGCTGATTCACACTTGTGTAATGAGCTCTGATTCTCCTGTCCCTCACACTGTTATTTCTCCTAATATCACTTACCTCTGATGTAAGCCAGTAAAAGAACGGTCAGGACAATGTTTTCCACCTGTAGCAAGAAAGGAGATGATGCATACCCTACCTATGCTAAGAAGTCTGAACAACTGGAGAACATCCTTATAAATGTATTTATAGAGATAAAACTATCTCCAAACTCTCTGTTCGTTGTAATATTGTCAAACCTAATAAGCTAAGACAATTGAAATCTGCTGGCATGGGAAAGCAGGGAGATTTAATGCTGCCACAGTGAACTGCATGTGGATGGTGCTGCACTCACCAGGACCTTTGCTTTGTGAGGGACTCCCTTGACTGCAAACTGGCACCCTGAGCTCCTGTGGTCAAATGAGGCTTCTCACAGGCTACTATGGGACATCTGAGTGTCTAAGCAGGGAGTAACTGTGCATCTAAATATTAAAAGCCAAACAGCTTCAATCCACTCGCTGCTCACTGCGCAACATACCTCGTCCAATATCTAATATGGTTGCATGTGTGTGTTCCCTCCCAACATCTTGGTCATGGGAATAGATGCTATGTGGGCTTTGAGTGAAGAGTCAGCTAAAGCTGGAAGGTCATGGGGAATAGGAGAGCTTCAGGGTGGGCCCTACGGATGTTTTCATTGGCTTGGTTCAGTGCCATGGTCTTCAAACGCAAGAGTTTGGACTCAGATTGGGCTCAGACCTGGATCAGCATTTCCAGCAGTTCAGGAACTCGCGAGCTTTTATGCCTCATATCAGACCACCTGCACTTCCCCTAGCCATGGCCCGAGCTTTCAAAGAAAAGAGGTTCAGACAGGGAGCATGGTGCTTGGTTTTGCATTGCACTGTCAAACAAGAATATCCTGTTGTTATGTGGAATCACTGAAAACTTTAATAGCATCCCTAAAACCTTCCTCCCCTCCCAAAGCATTTTGCTGCTCCTAGCATTTTAATGAGTAGCTAGGGATCCCACAGCAGGACTTGCGGATTGAGTGGTCTTGGCAGAGTATCTGCAAAGGGCATTGTGTTTAATAAAAGGACTAAACTTTACAGTGACCTTCTCAATGTCTTGAAGGGAGATTTGGTCTTTGGATGTTAAGTGCCGTGCTGATGAACATGGAAAACACAAACTGGCTCCCTGCGTCCCTCTGGCAGCAAGCAGGCAGGCACTTTTCTCCTGCCCTGGGACACTGGGGGCAGATTCCCTGCAGATTCCTATTGTCCTTACTAAGGAGGCATGATTTGCAGCGGTGCTGGGTGCCTGCAGGCGCTGCCCACCACAGGGGCAGTCCTGGTGGCTCAGCACCACTGAGAATCAGGCCAGGGGGTCCCGGCAAGGGCAGGGGCAGGGGGAGCAGGGCAGGGGGCAAAGAGGAGCAGCGGTGCTTGCTGACGCTCAAACACAGGCCTTCCAATGGAGGGACCTGCCGCAGGGGGAGGGCTCTCAGGCCCCACAAGTCAAACTGCACAGAGTCACAGTTAGTCATCATCATCGTCGTCGTCATCGTCATCATCGTCATCATCGTCGTCGTCGTCATCGTCGTCGTCGTCATCGTCGTCATCATCGTCATCGTCATCATCATCTTCAGTGTTTATCTTCCCAGAAAGCACATCCTCTATCCAGTCTTCCAGCTCCTCAGCTGTGGGCAGGTCATCATCATCTCTGATGTCCATCCAGATGCTGTCAGCCTGCAGGGACAGGTGATGGGGGATTAGCTGCCCGCAGAGACACAGGCAAGAGATGGGGTTCACTACTACTGTGGGAGGAAGGATTGGACCATGGGTGGGACACAGGGCTGATGGCAGCATTAGCTCCCTCTCTGCACAGCGTGTGGGCAGACTCAACCAGATCACCTCTCAGCCCATGCACTGGGATTACCAATTCTCCCTGTAGTGTTCTTGTATCTGGCCAGGGCCAGTGGGACTGGTCAGTGGGTTTACATGGGTGTGCAGTACTGTGTGCCCTGGCTGAGATGTGTGACTGCTGCCTGTTCTTCTCCTGCACTGCCTACACCTGTGAGCAAGAGCACTGTCCACCCAATGTGTTGTCCTCACTCTGTCTGAGGAGTTCTGTAGACTCCAAGTTTTCATAAAGAGATCTCAAAGAGACCAACTATGCCAGTTCCCCCTGCATTGCCCCAGTTCATAGGACATCACAGCATTTCCCTCCTTCCATCCCAAGCCCTTTTGGGATCTCTTTGAGCTTTTACACCCCTCTGTCATCACTCCTTCTCCCCAGACTTTTACCATCACCTTTGGTTCAGGACCATGTTCTGGGCTCTCCACTTGTGATAGTGGTTCCTCCTCTTGGAAGACCCTTCCCTCAGATCATCTCAGCCATGCTACAGTTGAAGAATGGTGAAAACCACCAATGCCCTGGTGCCCCCTGCTCTTTCCCTCCAGCTGTCTGCATTACTTCTATAAACTGGAGGGGATGGGGGAATTCAGTAAGAAGATGATGACTAAATTATGACTGTTACCCAGAGACAGCAAGCATAGCTTGACTGGTCTCTTAGGCCTGGAAATCAAAGTTTTCCTCTCCGCTTTGCTGTAGGTTCCCTGGGCAAATGCCTGGGTAAGCCCCTTTCCCTTCACTGTCTCCCCCCATAAAGCAGGAGCAGCATCCTATTTTGCAGAGGTGCTGTGAGGTTATCTCATTCAGTGCTTGATGCTGTAGAAGCAAGTGATTGTCATATCTCAGAAGAAAGCTACCAGCTTTTGAAAATGCATCCAACTTCTTTCCCTGTCTGTGGTACCTAATTCTCTTTGGTTTATGGTTTGATGAAACTCTGGACCAATTTCTGCTCAAGAAAAGCTGTTTCTCCTATACAGTATTTTCCTCCTAAACTGCCAAAACTGAAATAAAAAAGTGCAATGGAGAGGCGTGCAGCTCTTGCTTCACACAAATGATCTTGTCCTTAACCTCAGCAATATTTGTGTGGGAAAAAGTGACACATTCAAATAATGGAAACAGGAGTGGCATCATTTTACCTAGAGAAGATGCTGTGCAAATAAAGCAGTGATATTTTGCAGAGCATCATGGCCCTAGACCTGAGCCACCACAATGTGATGAGCCAGCTGGGGCAGCTGGGAGCTCTGGTGTTTGTTTTGGCAGGTTTTAGAGAAAAGATGGGGTCACAGGGGTTATGTCCACAGAAGCCAACAGCAGTGTTTATTTTTACTCTGTTGTGTAAGCCCCACTTTGTACCTGTGTAACTTGGCTGAATGTTGTGATGTAACACTGAAATAATGAAATGAGCTCAATGTTTGCTTTGGTTATCACCCACCAACCTAGAACTTTCTTAAATCTCTCTTGAGAAATAAAAAACGGACTTAAGAGGAATGAAATAAAAACTGCAAATACTATAATCAGCAACCTAAAATATTTACTATATCAAAGCCAGATAACACATGAGGTTTTACAGGTCTCTGAGTGACTGCTGAATAATAAACCATATGTTCTTACCTAATACTGCTTTCTATATGATTCTCATGCCTCTGACAATCCCACTTCCGTGAATTTCCATTGATTTATGTTTAATGTAGCTGTGACATGACTTAAACATGACCAGTCGCAGTAAATATAATGAAGGAAGGTACTGTGGACTAGTGAGAAGGTCAAAAGACTAGAAGACTTGGGCTCTATTTTTGGCTTATCTGTTCATTTCTCTTATGATCTTAAGTGACAAGTGCTGTCTTGGTCCCCTTCCCTTTTGTCTTTCCCTTAAAAATTCTGTTAACAAGGCTTAACTGACTGGGTCCTCATGGTCTGGGATATTACTGCTCTATTACAGGTAAAGAGCTCACTTCCAGCCAGCACTGCAACTACTTGCTGACTCCCAGGTCAGCCTCTCATCCCCATCAATAGGATGGGCAATATTCAGGGGCTCTGCTTTCTTCATGACACCATCACTTTGCCATCCCATCTCCCATCTTATGGTTTTACAGCATCTGCTTTAACTGTAGGTGCAATTGGCCAGTACACACTTGCTGTCCCTCTTTTTCTGGGGCAATACAAGAGAGAAGATGTGGAGGCTGGAAGCAAGGTCAGTGGTGGTGCCAGAACCAGCACCCAGCCCCAGACATTTGTCCCAACTCTAAGTTCCTCTCTGCTCTCTTCTAATGAAATATCAAGTTCACATACACTGAAATTTCAAACACAAAGTCAAGCACCAATTTACAAACACTTCTGCAGTGGAGAAATTTCTGCTTCCAGAGACTCTTACATACCCCCACACATTCATTTTAAAGACGTTAAAACACCCAACTATTGACCATCCAAAATAAACTCAGGTGATAAGTGAGCCAGGCTGCAACATCCTGCATTATATGCTCTCTGATCATCTGGACTGTTATGGTCAGATTGAGGAGAAAAAAGTTTCTCTCTGTAGTCGTGTCAGGGCTGTGAAGCATGTTACACTGCACTCAGCAAATCTACTGAGATCTCTGCTGGTGAGGGTCAGATGGGTCCCTTTCCCAGCTGCCTTAAAAACTCACAATGTGTGGGCAGCCTGACATCAGTCCCATGGCTTGTTGGCTTGAAGGCAACCACAGTTAAAACAGTAGCTGCCAGAAAGCTGGCCCAGTGACACTGCTGTGGGTGCTGTGGGTACCACCACTACTGCAGCTGTGCCAAAGCAGCACCTGCCTCTGCAGCTCTCCCTCTGCAGTGCTGCTGGCTGTGGCACGGTGTGGAAACCCTTCACTGACACCAGGTATGGCTCGGGTGGGTCTCTTCTTCCCACCCAAATCCCTCCAGCATTACCTGCATGGCAGTGGCTGAGAAGGAGGAGGGCCTGGATGAACCCCAGCACACTCTCTTTACCACAGCAGGATCCCTCGATTACCAGTTTATGCTGTACTTTTATTAAAGCTGTGTATTTATTTAGCTTTTTCAAGCTGTACAGTTTTTCCCTGTCATCTGTTGGAGACCATTTTTCCCTCCTACACTCAAGCTGTGCCATTCTGCTTCTGCAGCAAAAACAACCTCCTTTTCCTCCTCTTCTCTTCCCTAAGCATGGCTTTATTTTCTCCCTACAGACCCTTTTCCTCCACAATCCCACACAGGCTGTCAGAGCAGGGAATGGATAAAGGATCATACTGTGTTTTGGGGTGGAAATGTGAGACCTTGAAACCTAAACTGTGCAAAGCCCTGAATCTTAAGCCACAGGGGCTGTTTGTGTTCTCAGCAAATGTAGTCTGTGTGTGACTCGGCAGCAGAAACACACTCAGACCAAAGCCCTGAAGCCGGACATCGGAGCTGTTACGAACTCCACCGCTCGCGGGAACGGTGAGGTCTTCACACTTTTTCCCAGGGCAAAAGCCTCATCTACCTGTACTTAACAACAGAAATCCCATTGATTCCAGTGGATCTCAAGTCCCATCCTTTCTAGCACCCTTATCTTGGGATCTCTGGATTTTTTGGGTGCACACTACTCACATCTGTGACATTCACCACCCCGATCTGTGGTCTGAACAAGTCGATCTTGAAGGTCTTCTCCCAGTAAGTGATCAGCTGCAGGAGCGAGAAAAAAAAAAGCTCAGGAAAAGATGATTACAATGCCCCCTTGCACTAGTTTAGTCAGCTGGGCTGTGGTGTGAGGGACATGCATTGACAAGTGCATGGGAGAGAAGAAAGGCTGAACACAAGCTTGGGCTGCCACACCTGGCAAAAGAAAGTGCCAACTCTGGGGATGTTCCCAAGATAACACCTTCATGGGAGGTAGACTCAAAAGACTCAAACAACAAGCTCTCAAGGGGATTGCCTGTGGTCCAGTTTCCTATCCTTCCCTGTACCAAATTCCCTGGGCAATTCCTGCACTTGTGTGTGCACATGCACACCCACCCTCACCCTCACCCCATTCACAAATTAAACCAAGAAAGGCAAGGAGCCTCTGCCACTCACCAGAGGAAAGTCATCAGGGTCAATCCAGACAATGCTCAGGTCAGGATTATCGGTGTTGTCCCTGGCAACCTGCTTCAGGATTTCCAGGAACTCAAAACCATCTGAAATTATATATGAACGACTGTAACTCTCTCCTACAAACACACAGGCACTTTTTGCTTGTGGGGTTTCCAGCTTCCCTGGCTCCCCTATGCACACAGGAGTTGTTTATAGTTCTCATTAAAATGCTGTCTCCCAGCGCTTTATTTTGATAATAAAGCTTTTAATTTCAGGCATCCTCCACGGGTATTGAAATTAGTTACACATGAATTAAGTCTCATAATCTTGCCAAGGAGTGGAACAATGTCACTATTTTCTTGTGATGAGGGAGGAACTGAGCCCCCAGGAGGCCAAAACATTTCGACATGTTGATGGCTCTGAGAAGCACTGATGTCACCGCTTTTCAGCAGTTTGTGGCCTCTGTTTTCCCACATGCCTATCACACACACAGACCTAAGCACTTTCCCAGATTCATACAGCAAGATGGATGCAGAGTTAGGGAGAAAATTCTGGTGCTGGGTGGAGGGGATGACTTTTTTTTCCCAGGCAGTCATTGATTTATATCCAAAATTTGAATGTCGGCTAGCATGCCTGCTAGCATAAACACCCAGAAGCATCCTGGCTCCCCGTCCCATCAAGCTGGGGATCACCATCCTGGCCAGGGTGCTGGGCTCCACTGTGCAAATAAAGCAGAAGAAAATACACTGTCTTGAGGCATGGAGAGTCACACAAGGAAGAAAATAGCCTTTTACCTGGGTCATCTTCTTCAGCGAAGGCTACGATGTGGATACCCTCCATGTCATCCTCCTGGAAATAACAAAACCATTACTGATGGGCCAGGGAGGGAGGGCAGAGTCTGGGCAGTTGCTGGAGATTAGGAGCACTGAGATGTCTTCAAACAAACAAGAAAATTGCTAATGGAAGCTAGACTGGAGCCCCACTGAGACATCAGAAATGGGAGTTGAGGTGAGGCTGAGTCATGAAGGTGTTCAGTGCCGAAGTGGGTAGTTTGGGTAGTGCTGAAACTCTTCAGTTAAAAATGATGCCTGTGCACTGTGATAGCAAAGGTGAGGGAGCTTCTGACAGTGTGGGGCAAAAGTTTGTCTGCAGAGAAGGTCAAAGGATCTCTAGCATGGATCTCTTCCCATTTGTGCCTGAGGCCACCTACCCTCAATTTGCAGATCCCAGGGGATAGTTTACAGGGAAACAAGTATCTGGCACCATGCTCAGTCACAGAACATGCTTCTCGGGGGCCAGCAAAGGAGGTTTTCTCACAGTGTAAGAGGCAAGGTGGCTCATTTGGACCCCTTTTGGGAGGTGAAGGGTCTCTGCTTTAAGTGAGGGTCTCTCTGAGCAGTGAGAAGAATTGAGTGGGGGGCTCATTTCAGGGCTCCGATGAGTGGAGGACAGAAATTACAGCCTGCTAGGCTGCTTTTCTCCATGAGACACATGAGTAATGGGTAATGATATTGGCAAAGGCCAATGGATCTGCTGGCTGGTTCATCATCCGCCTGCTATGAATGTCATCTCTGAATTATCCCATGGATCGGTTTCGCCTTCCTCACCCGCTGTCGGTCCTGGTTTCCATTTCAATTGGTTTTAATGCAAGAAAAAATTCCCATCTAAATGCTAATTTCTTTTCCCTTCTGAGCCCAGAGGTGACAAAGCCACCATCAAAAACTGAAAGGGAAAAAGCCCCTGAAAGATTAAGTGGAAAACATTATCTTTAAAAACAATAGCGGATGCTGAGCCTTTGTGGATGTCTTCAGGGAATACATTTTCACTGGGACATTCTAGGCAGATTTACTTGGAATTCAGATGACTTACAGCTGGCAAAATCTACACTGTTACTTTTTCTTCATATTGGCCAGCAGCATTGTCAGTCACCAAAATAAAAAGTATGTCTATATGCCATATATATTTATAAGTATATGGCTACATAACACAGCTCTGTTCTGACCTCCAAGGCAGTAAACAAAACTGGACTAACTCAAGTGAAGGCATTGAGCATGTTGTGAACTTCCAGTGAGATCAGAACCCAGCTCTCTGTCTTCTGTGAGTCCCCTGCTCGTAGTGGAGGCAAGCTCTGTATTCCCAGGCTGCTGGTAGAGAGACGTCACACCGCTGTGAATTCACGCTTTTCCTGAGGCTAATTTAGAATATGTTCAGTTTGAAAGTGAAATCATGCATGTGAAATTTGGGTGTCACTGAAGCTCCATTAAGAACCTTGGAGGGGCTTCAGTGGATCTTGGGAGCTATATTCTATACAGAATCTGTATTTCAAAACAAAATGAAAAGCTATCATGCCTAAGTGACTCATAACTCCTGGTTCAGTTTTATTACCTCTTGCCTTGTTGTATTAAAGACTCCCAAGGTTTTTGCCACTTCGGAGTCTCGCAGCGCTTCATGTTACACAGCCAAGCAAGGGGACATCTGAATATGCTGTTATAAACATGTCAAGCCTTTTGGAGGAATGACTGCACCTTCCTTAGTGTCTGTAAAGCACCTGTTCAGCTTCGTTTTTCAGCATTCATTTGGGACTTGAGAGTCCCTGACTAGCTTTTAACATCATATTCATTCACAGTGAAGGAATAATTTGTTATACACATTTTTTCTTACATTTTCACTCTTCCCCTCTTCCCCAACCCTGCAGACCAGGAGAGTCATCTGTGTGCGATAGGGGCTAAACTGCTGGTTAGTTCTTCACAGTTGCTGAATTGCAGCTTGCATACACCATGAGAAGTGCAATCAATGCATGATTGGCTTTGAAATCTATATAATTAACTGTACTGCCTGCTCTCACTTGCATTTTGAATTGTACAACTACTCTGTTACTTTTACAAGGACATGTAGTGACAGGATGAGGGGGAAAGAGGGTAGATTTAGATTTAGGAATTAGGATTTAATATTAGGAAGCAATTCTTTGCTGTGAGTGTTGTGTGACACTGGAGCAGGTTGTCCAGAACATTTGTGTATGCCCCATCCCTGGAAGTGTTCAAGGCCAGCTTGGATGGGGCTTTGAGCAATCTAATCTGGTGGAAGATGTACCTGTCATGACAGGGGGGTTGGAACTAGATGATCTTTAAGGTCCCTTCCAACCCAAACCAACCTATGATTCTGTGAATCTCCATGAGACATCTGTACAATCTCTGTAGCTCACCCACCCAGCAAGCAGGCCACTGAAATCTTCCCACTACCAGCACTGATATCCGTTAGCTGAGATGGAGCATCCTGTGGTGGGATGTCTTCCACATCGTTGTCGTGGTCCCTACACAGGCCCAACACCTGCCTGGCAAACTGCTTGGCTTTCTCTCTTCCATCTGTGGAGCAAACAGGACCCGGCTCAGCTGTCCACCGCTGCTGAGCAAAGCATTTGAGCACACTGTTTGAGCTCGGGCACTAGGCATCACAGCCAGGGTCTTCCCTTCTTCCCAGAAGAAAGAAAGTAGCTTTGCAAGGAAGGAAAGTTAGTTTTGCCCAGCTAGACACTGGAGCTGGGCAGCAGTTCCTTGTTGGAAGTTGGCAGGGTACACAAGGCTTCCCACCCACATGTGCTTACCCACGTCTCAAACATGTCCTCTGGGCGCAGCTTCCTCAAGGTGGCCCTGAAAGGAAGATAGAAATGCTCTTTGAGGACATATCCAGCACTGTCACACGTGATGCTGCCAGAAATACAGAAATGGTCATCATGGCACATTTCACTGTGGCTGGATCAGCCACATTTTAAATGTAAGCATGGGGGCACTGTAGGTCAACTTATGCTTTTATTTATGGTGATAAAACCCTACCCCTGGCCCCACTGGAGTAATTACAACCACTGCTCATGGTTGGGAAGATGAGATGCCTCTCTGTGCTGGGATGTGCTGGTGAATTAGTCTCACACATGGCAGATTGTTCCGTGTGTGCTGAGAGCATGAGGTGACCCATTCACTTTTGTCTTTCTGTTCCTGGGACATTCCTAACAGGCTTTGTCTCCTTTTTCTCCTGGTTTTACCCCAGCATAATTTCAGCACAGAAATCCCTCCAACCTCTGCTGAAGCAAAGAAGACAGAATAACCTCTGTGAAGAAGATTTATATTCTAATAACCACTGACAAGAAAACTCAAACCCTAAGAGTAGTCAAAGCAATTTTTTTTTTGAGAAGTAGTTCACAAAGGACCAAAAAATTAAAAGCAAATATTTTCAGACACATCTGTAGCAGGAAGCTTGTCGGAGAGCCTGAGAATGGTAAAAAAAGTGAATATCTTAGAGCATGGCACTAATAATGCCAAGGTCGTGGGTTTGATCCCTGTATATGCCATTCAGTTAAGAGTTGGACCTGTGGGTTCCTTTCAACTCAGAATATTCTGCAATTTCTCTCTAAAGATTACCTAAAGTATTAGTCATTGTTCCTCTTAACACAAGAGTTAGTAGGTGTCCAGAGAAATTATTAGGTAGCAGGTATAAACTCAACAAATAGGAATGGTCTTTTGATGCAAAGCATAATTCAGCTGCTAACTCATTACAATTAGGTACTTTCAGCATCAAAATAGAAATAAGGTAGAAACTACCTTAGAAATTGAAGAAATAGCCATTAAGATATACAATTTTTGACCCAGCAAGTCCTCTCATTGTTGATAGTCCAAACCCAGAGGTTATATCAGGTGAATGCATATTACGTATTTAGGCATATTTGTAACTGGCTTTCAAGACACTTACCCTAAGCTGTTCTCTGGGGGAAGAGCTTGGAGAAAGGAAACTCAGTGGAAAGGATTTGATCACACCCACATGTACTGATTGCTGTGTTGTTGCTCAGGATACTTCTCTGTGCTGGAGGGAGTGAGGTAACTGGGATTTTGTTAAGTAAGAGGGAGCAGAATTCAGCCCCCCACGTCGCTACACCACAATTGCAGAGAACTGGGAGTCCAACCACAGCATTTTGCATGTGAAACAGGTATAAACCCAGAGGCCTCTTGCTGCAAGCAGAGGAGCTACCATGTAACTTGGTTTTGTACAACTGGGAGCAAAATCTGGGCTGAGACCTTGTAGTCACAGTGCCTGTCACCGTGCCCAGATGGACACCCATCTGCTGGGCAGCCTTGGATGAGTCACCCCACCACGCCGAACACTGACTTCCTGACCTGCTCAGGAGAGGATGAACTTTCCCACCACAGGCTGCAGCTGCCTGGAGAAGCCTCATCTGGGAGGCTGTGTATGGATTTCTCCTGGGCATCTGCTTCAGATCCTGTCTTGAGGCTGCAATGGAAGCTCAACAAATCCCAGTTTCTGGAGGGAGTGGTAGTGAAGCCTGCCTGAGCACAGTAGTGAGGAGCCATTTTTGGAAGGGCTGTTTAAAGCATGACAAAGAGCCTGGATACTGCTGACCAGTAGTAGCTTTCCCCATTGATGTGACATGGCTCCTTTAGTGGGATGGAGAGCTGGCAGTGGGGTGTTGCACCACGGAAGAGGGTTAGTCCATGCCTGTGAAGTGAGAAAGCCTGCTGTGTGAGGGGGAGGAGGCCAGTGGTCCCCTATACCTTCCTACAGAGAATACCCTGCCAAGTTGCCTACGGGGCACCAGCACGTGGCAGCTGCTGAGGTTGCTTAACTTTAGTCTACAGATCTGATCATCTCCATGTCTCACTAATTCCCATCTGTGGCTTTAGGTGCTTTACTGGTGGCAAGGCAGGAAGTACTTCTGCTCTGAGAGGCTCAGCGTTAGCTGCTAGGAACATATCACTGTTACCCCAGGGTTCGTCCCCTGCCATGGCAGCCCCTTGGCGGGTTTGGGATTTCAGGCATTCAATTTTACAAGACTCCTTTTAATTCTCTTCTGAGCCTTGGCACTTGCAAAATACATGGCCCAGCCCCTTGATCCTACCAAGCACCACACAGCATCTTGAAATATGTAAGACTTGGGGGCATTCCACTGCAATTTTGTGCTGGTGTTTAGCTGACTGTTCTTAATCAGCCTCCTGATGCTGCTGCTTGACAGAAAGAACTTGGAAAAAAAAAAAAGATGGAAAGGACTGAGGTCAAAAAGTCCCAGAGGTCAGCAAAGTGAATTGCAAATGCATGGGAGATAGAGAAGCCTTTCATATTTCAGAAAAAGCAGAGATCTGTTTCCAGGTCTGGTGAGTTGTGGATTCCAAAGACGATGATCTGTCTCTAAACTCTCAGTGGGTTAACACAAACCTCCAGCTGAGACCAATTTGAGATCCCCCCTCTATATCAATGGCCCTGCTTTCCTCAAACTCTGAACTGGTCCCTTGAATGTCTGCTGGAAAATGCAGTTGCAGGAGCAGCAGGTTAACTGTGCTATTATCCTGCACGGTGCTTTTAGGGGTGTAAAAATACAGCACCTCATAGATAATTGTGCCCATATATTTAACCTCGCCTTTTACACAGGATCAGCCTCTCTGATGACTTCCAAAACATTGGTAGCTGAGTCCCTGAGCAACTGTGCAATAAACCTGATTGCAAAAAGCATGGAGCCTCTGCAGCTCCTGCTGGGCTGATCAAACACTGTAGCTGCTCAGCACCGTTGCCACGTGAGGCTCAACACAGCCATGACAGCAGTGGCTGCCTCTCTGTGCCCTTTGTCAGCAGGAGTCCCTTAGTCCATTGCAGTTCCTCCGAGCTCGGTCTAAGCTCAGAGCCTGCCTCCAAGTATATCTGACATTAGGAGAGGAATATAGCCATTAGTGAAGCTGCTTTGGAGAAGGATGGGACTGGAGAGATTTGGATTTGACTTGAGAGGCCTTGGAGAACATCATCTTCTATACAGACCTAAATTAAAAGCATGGGCAAGTAGGGCAAGGTTTCCACTGTCCACTGCTTTCAAGCATCCCAGCTTTTTTTGAAGGAGGACTAACTAGGGAGGAGGAGAAGGCTGTGTTGTCACAGCCCCATTGTAGTGAGCTCTGATTGCTGTACAGATACTTGCACCTCTGGGAGTAGCAAAAAAAAAAAAAAAAAAAAACCAACTAGAATCTCAAACCTGGGTCAGCAAATCATGAAAAAGGTGGTCATCATGCTAATTTTTTTCTGAGAGAGTTGCCCTAGAGAGGCAAGGTTGTGATGAGAGACACCTTTACCCACTTTCCTTGTCCAGGAGCATCCTATACACTACATACCTTCTGTGCTCTCTCACAAATTCAACCAGCTCCTCTTCTGTGTAAGGCTTATCAGGGATGTGAACAGGCTCATCCATAAATGGTTCATAGAAGTCCACCTCATTCATCTTCAGACCTAGCTTCTTGGCAACCTGTTACAGTGGAGATAGTCAGAGGTGAGGGAGCCTGATGTGCCTCTTTGCCCACCCAGTCTCTCCTAGTGTCAGAGCTGAGATCAAGGTGCTTGTTCTCCCTCAGAGTATGCACTCCTAGAGGTAGCCCACAAAACAGAATGGATCTTTCCTTGGTTAAAACCCACTGATGCTCTCCCCACTACTGGTGTCAAGCACCGGACTAGAGCAAAGCCAGAGTCAAGGTCCCACAGACCTGGTGGAGCTGGTTTCCAAACCCACATCAGGACCTCCCTCCATGTTGCAGAAATGGCCTTTTATCTTGTGACAGAGCCAAATCCCAAAGTGGACACTGATACTACAAAATACAGGAACACTGAGAATGAGAAGCTAGAACCAGATAATAAATCTGGGAACATCCTGAGCTCTCAGAAAACAGGTGGTGGCATCTGTGAGCTCCCATTTAGGTCTGTGAGTACTTACCCCTTTGTCAAAAGTAGCAAAGAACTTGATGTATGGCTGGAATTGTTCGGCAGCTTCTTCAAATGCCTTGAAATCTGGGAGGAGAAAAGGGGAATGAAGAAGATATTTCACAGACAGCTTTGATCAGGACAGAAGGCACCAGGGAAGAACAAACGTAAATTATTGCAAATTCCCATAGATGACAGCCCTGTGTTTCTTCCACCCTTCCAGGGTTTACACAGAAGGACCATTTCAAGTGGAGCAACACGCTGTGCAGCTCCACAGTGCTCAGGAAAACTGCAGATCCCAGCATGCCACACTTAACTGTGGCTGAAATCAGCAGCCCTGTGAAGCAGGTCCAGTGGTAGCTCAGCCTGGGAAATGCATGGAATTGCTCCAGCATTAATGATTGCCGCCATTCCCTAAGCAGTCACCACACATTATTAGGCATGCTTCTCCTGCTGCAGGAGGAGGGGAAACAAAGTACAGGAACAAGGTATGTTTTACCTGTTACTGCTAAGGGCACAGTGCTGGGTTCCAGCCTGGCAGGAGATTTTTACAACAGGCTTTTCTCCTCACTTCTCTTCAAAGTACTTATTACTGAAGTTCCTTACCCAGTGTAACTGTAACCTCAGCTGATTTTGGGTGAGGTTAATTTACTTTACTTCAGGAGCCCTGGATTATGGCCCTCTTCTCTTACCAGCAGATACCTTGCAGAAGGGTCACAGCTGTTGGTGTAGGAATGGGCTCATGCGTAACACCAGCAGAAACTTGTCTGCAACCCCATCTCATCCTCCATCAATGTTCACACTGTCATACCCTGCCATATACTCCTAACACCCTTAATGTTCATGCAGAACAACCAGTGCCCAGCCCCCTGAGCCCCCAGCCAGGCTCTAAGCCCCACAGGAACATATTCATCTTACGTTCAGAGTCTTCTCCTTTGAAGTAGCCGATGAGTTTGATTTCATCATCAATCTGGTCAAAGGCCTGAAGCTCCAGCTTGCTGTTTATGACCTCCACGGGGTCTTCTAGCAACTGCCATGACAAATGCATGTGATAACGCAGTGATTTGCAGCACCAACCTATGCCTGGCAGGGTGTGTCACAAGCAGCCTAAGTGAGGAGAAAGGGGTCACCCAATTTCTTCACTGTTGGAAACCCTAATTAGTGCTCTCTGCCTTAATGTGAGGAACCGAGAGATGCAGGTCACCTTCAAAGGGAGATGTTAGTATGTTCCCTGGATAGGTGAAAGCGTCCAGAGGGAGGCTGATAGAGGACAGGGTAACCTGAATGGATGCTGAGGGACTTGCTGTGATGAGAGATGAGGGGTAGCAATCGCAGCTGGCTTTAGGGAGGATGAGAAGAAGGAAGAGCAGTTGAAAGGAGCTGGTATGAACACTATCAGCTTCTGTAAGTGATACATACATACCTATATCTATATATACTTGTTTTCAAGTCTCATTTGGTGGAAGAGTTCATTGCAAAAAACTTGCTTTTGAAAAACATTAAAACCAGCACACTAGAGGGTGGCCAAACAAAGGTTTGGAACAGTGAAAAGTCTGGATGTGAATTTTCCTGGCTGCTCCTCCTATGAAGAATGGTTTAAGCACAGGCTTTGGCCCCACACACATCACAGTGTTGATGAGGAATTTGGAAGACCTATCTGGCACTTTAACCTTCCATTGATTCAAACTTTGTTTCTGTTTTCTTAACTAGTCACTGCTGGTGAAAAGATTCAGCCTGACTATTTTGCCCAATAATACTGGTGTAAATCAGATGTATTTTCACTAGATGGAAAGAAAAACAGGCAGGCCACTGTACAGCCTACAGAGGAGGAGAGAACCTCTGGGTTTCTTTTTCATTTCAGATCAGGCTGCTGAGGCACCATTTGCTTGGTTTTATTTCCCTGCTTTACCTGCTATTACCCTGCCAGGTACTTTCTCTCTTGAGTGAAAAATGCCCAAACAGAAATGCTTGGTCTCTTCTTTTTCACAGAACATGATTTTTCAGTGTCACACCATAAGGCATAGCAAGCAAAACCTCATCAAGCACGTTACACTGCACTCCCTTTGAGCAGTGCTCCGACATGAGGCTGTGCCTCTGCTACCCCCACAGCAGTATGTGCAGTTTTCTGCTGCCATAGTGGCCTGAGCCATGGGAACAAGGGATCCCACTGCTGTGGGGTCATGGCAAAGCCTTGCCCTCCTGAGTGGGGCAGATGCCTATTTCTGTCCCTGAATCCACTAGCATGTGTTTTGTCCACAACACTTGATGCACACAGCCACAGACATTGTCACAGGAGAGCTGAGGTTCTAGGTATCTGTTTCTCTTCCCTGGCCATGCTTCTCCTCACCAGCAGTCCTGCACCACAGGTAGCCATGTAGGCAACCTGCCACCCTGGGAAACAAACACTGCCAGCTCCACTGCTTGCCTTACCTCCCTTATCTGCATTACTGCATGGCTGCTTATAAAGGAGTCTCATTTCAAAGGAAAGCCAAACCACCGCAAAAAGTTTTCATTACAAAGCAAAGACCATGGTTTTGGACTGTTGCCTCTCCTAAGAACAAAATGTAAATAAAGAGAAGTGAAACGTATTGATGGGGGATTCAGCACCTCTTTTGCATTTAGGCACAGAGGTGAGTACATCATTGTGCCTGTGCACCAGATGACCCAAGGGCACTTAGTCCTAGAGTCTTGATCTTTTTTCACTCATGGCAGTGCAATTTGGGAAGTTGCCTGAAGAGACATGATGTTGTATGTGTCTAGAAAGGGGAAAATAGTTTGCAGCATAAGGCTTTTTCAGTGCACTAAGCTCTTTTTAGTTGTTCGATAAGAATCTCACTTCTTGGATATTCTTTTTTTGAAAATCACTTTTCTTTAAAAAAAAATTAGTGTGGAAGACTTTGCTAATGGCAAAGTGCTTGCACACCAGCTTGCTAACTGAGGTGGGTGATCAGCAGTCAGTTATGTGGGATTGTTGCTGACTTCCATTCAAATACTCCATAAACAAGAAAGAGGGCATAATGTCTCCAAGATATAAGAGGTTGGTAGCATATAAAGATACCAGCTTCCTTGTGAACTCATGGTCAGACAAGTACTGGGGAAAATGGCAAATGCCATCTCTATCAGTGAGCAGCAAACAGATGGCATTTCAAACAAAGATACACTTGTGTTTTTTAGCAAACTCAGTATTTGCAAGGTCTTCTCTGAGAGGCTTTATCTAGCTCTGAGCTTATCTGTGCTTACATCCAAGAGGAATTCCACCAAGACATCTGTGGCCAGTTCCCCATCAAATTCGATCAACCGCTCATCCTTAAAGACATAGAGACTTCCCTCTTCAAGCAAGCCTGAAAGAAGGAGACAGGAAACATAATGTGGTTAACATGTCACTAAAAGCATTTTTACTGTAGAGTATCTTGCTTGTTATTCCAGCAATGCTGTCTGGGAAAATGCAACTGCCAGTTCACTATGTTGGTCTACTTAGAAACAACCTGAGCAATCTCCTGACTGATGGAACAGGAACAGATGTCAGCCAGAACTGTGGCTAACTTCTTCCCAAATGTTGAATTTTTCATTCAGGTCACAGTTTGGCCTCATCTGGAAAAATTCTGTACCAGTAACTTGTTTTATCTTGGCTATCTATCTTACAGTAAATACTGGCTCTAACTGACAGCTCAGATTTTAACAACCTGCCACTATGGAATAGATTTTCTTGAGGGTTTTGCTCACTGTCTGGAGAAGGCTGGACTATACGAACATCAGCAGTGATCTGAAAGTGAGCTTCAAACTATCTGAGGTTTATCTGGCCTTGGCAAAAGGGTTAGAAACCAATGGGGGAGATACCACAGACAGCAGGGGCCCATGTGAATGCAATATCACTGCACTGAGGACTGAGTGCCACTGCACTTCATTGGAGGCTCCAAAATCAGCAGCATTGGCCTCCTGTAATGCAGGACAAGTAGGGTAGCACAGGCCAAGGTGATTGGTAGTTTGTTCCTTCTTAGAGGAGCAGAAACTCTTCTCTTTAGTTGAGCTCCCACTACCACACACAGCCTCTAATTTAGGCTGTGGCTCCCCCTTTTGTTGACAGAGGTCACCCTGCCGTGGGACTGGTGACATTTGGGGACCTATGTTATTTCCCTGTGTGTTCTGGTTCTGCACCACTGTGTCAGTCATGTCTCTGTGCAGGAAGAGCATGAAGTTACTCCATAGCATCTCTTTCCTGTTCATGCACAGCGAGCTGTGAGCTTACATCTTGTCATCATTACAGCATGAGTTGCCTTTCTCTTTCACTTGATTTGATTTGGTTTTGGTACTCTCAGACAGGAAGGTTTTTACTGAAAGGGTCTTTCTGAGTTCATCCCTCTCATCTGCACTCTCCCCACTCCACTTGATCCTGCCCTTGGTGAGGTGGGCAGGTGGTCAGTGTGCAAGTGCCATCAATATTCTCCCCATCCTGGTAACAAGGATTTGGCTGCCCTCTATGGGGCTGGCTGTTGGACATCAGTCCCACACTCTCTCCAAGCTATTCCAGAAATATCAGACATGGGACTCACCTAATTTTTTGGCAAGTTTGGCATCCTTCTTGGAGTCCACCATCCCAAAACCGATGCTTCTGGGCTCCAGGACCTGAGCTGCCAGCTGTGGGAGGAACCAGAGAGCCCAACATTAGCAGCATTGACACCACAGGGTAGCTAAAGGGCATCGTGCCCCGCTAGCATGGCATGACAGACACAAGTGACCCATATTCTGCTTTTGAACAGCACCAGTGAGTGGGATGTGTCACATGCTGCCTCTCTGCTGAGATAACCAGAGGTCACAAGGGTTGGGTTTCTTCCCATTGTGTTGCAGCAGGGATTTGCTGGCACTACCACATGGTGCTCACAGCTGTTTGAGACTGGCATTGGGAGAGGGCTCCTGATTGAACCAGGGACACTAAAGCAGTGGGCATGGCTGGAAGAAAGACCTGTGTTATTGACACAAACCAAAAGCTGTTTCCTCCTTGGTGCCTTAGTGGCCTCCTTCAGGGGAGTGCAACGTGTTGGCACTACCAACATTTTAACTCTTGAAGTGCAGGTTGCCAGACAGCAGTGGCTGCAAACTTGATGGGATGCAGGATAGTGCAGCATCATGTTTCTTTCATGCATGCAATGGGATGGCCAAAATAGGCTTGCTTTCCTATGAAATAATTGAAGTCATGTCTCCTGTCCAGGCTTCAGTAACACCCCACACCCTGGGCCCCTCTTTTTGCTAAAGAAATGCATCTAATCCCAGTCATGCCAGTGTTCACCTCTCACAGCTTCTCAAAACTACTGCTCCCTGTTCCCACCATTTTTGACGAAGGGGCCTCTTGAAGATATCGAGTTCCTGCCTGTTTTGTGAAAATAGATATGTGAGGAAAGGAGAGAAGCTCTGCAAGGGCCCCATGGTGGGAACGGCCCCTGGTGAGACCCTGTGAATTCCAGATAGGCTCCTAGAGATGCACTGACCCTGGAAAATGGGTCCACTTACGCACCAGGTGACTGACAGCCCCACTGCAAGCAGGCTACAGACCATACAAGGCGATAGTGATGCTCTGAGATCACCAAGCAGCTGTAAGAGCTTCTTCCTCCTCCCTCTCCCTTCCTGCTCTATGAACGCCTCTGATGCTGATGGTCTTCTTGCTGTTCCTTCTCCCAGCCCCACCAGATGGTGGGGGATGATGGAGATGAGGAGTCAGAGGCCTCTGGGATAGGAATGTCCTTATTAGGGCACAGCTGCCAGTGCTTGGTGGCAGGAGAGGGGCAGAAGAAAAGCCATGGCCAGAGAGATAGAGGGTTGATTTATGAGGAAGCCCCCCTGCCCGACCCATTTTAGTGCCCTCCCCCAGACTCAAAGCCAGTTTGAATGTCACCCAGCAGCGCTGCCACCGCAGCCGTGCGGCCCCTTGGCTCCCCTGCTATAAATAGCTTCTGCCTGTGCCCGGCCACTGCGGGAGCGAGCAACAATTAAAGGCGTCGGGAGTCGAAAGTGGTGAGGCAGCTACCTCGCCTGTGCAATGGGGTGTCATGGGGCCAACCAGCTCCCTGTGCTGTCAGCACCCAGCCTGTCCCCGAAATTCTGGAGGATAGTGGCAGATACCCTGGTGATCAGGGCTCAGGGACCTTGCTTGAGCAAAGGGGAGTGATGAAGAATGTGATTGTTTCCTCCCTTCCAACAAATATGCATCCCCAGGCCTGTCCCAAAGCTCTCCAGGAGGACATCGTCTCCACCAACCCCCACAGCATCGCTGCAGCCTTGATCCCCCTGCAGCTGCCTGCCCTTTTGTCCTTAGGGGACACCATGTGAAGCAAAAGGGGTGCTTCTGTTACACAGGAAACAGGCATCTCGATGCTCTTTCCTTGCTCTTTGCCAGTGCTTTAAAACAAAGGTAAGGCTGCATGTTCTGGGCTTGTGCGACGGACATTGCCTGAATGGGGGCAGAGCACTGATTTGTGTTTTCACATCCATTGATGAGGCACCTGAGCACTGGTTTGACTGGTCTGGCATCCCATGTCCTGGCTCAGGCCACGGCTGTACATTTCAGAGCCCTGAGAGCAGCTGGTACCCATACTGCAGTGAGAGATGGACACCTCTTGTGAGCTCTCTAGACATCTCTAAGCAAGTAGTGGTGAGAGAAGATCCCCCATTACAGGGATCTATCTTTTCTGGACAAAGGGATGGAGCCTGTAGGATCATCAGCTTTCTGGGACATTATCAGCATGCTTATTGGCAGTTGTGCATATTCGGCAAGAGATTCCTCAGAGTCAGTGCTTGAAGCTCTGGCTGCTCTGTGACCAGAGGTAAAGCACAGAAAGCCCAAGGGAAGAAGACTTATTCAGTCATGTCCATTCCAGGTAATACTTGATCTAGTTACTCAGAGTTCTGTCAGCCATGTGCCACACAAAGTCAGGGTAGTTTAAGCCCAAGTTCTCAACTCCTGCACACAGGAGATGGTTAGGATTTCTTGTGGGTGTTTGAAAAAGGTCAGAAATGTGCAGAAAAGCTGCAACACCTGCTACAGACAAGTGGCTGGATTGATTGCAGGAGAGGAGGCATTAATCAGAACTCATGTATGTCAGTACCTTGCTCACGCAAGGTGGGTCTTTGGAGAGGTGTGGGTGTAGCCATGTAGCTGTGAGCATGGGATTTTGCTGGGAGAGAGTAAATGTGTCAAGAAAACATGGGTGATGTGATAAAAACCTCTTCATATGAGACTGAGAGTGCTCAGTAGTCAAAAATGGCCACAGTAATTCTGGAGGTGTTCCCGTTGGTGTGGCAGGGCTTTGTGTGACTGTGTCTAGCAAGACTGTCTCTTGGAGGTGTATGTACTGTGGATATGAATGTTTAGAGATGTCTCTCTGAAGAGGCTCATCCTGAGAGAAGATGTGCAACAATGTGTGTATACAGGAGCGTGAATGTGTACAGGGGGTGTGTGTGCCTGGGGGTTATGTTTGCATGAGGTGACAGAGCTGGGAGCCACGCAGGCAGCCTGGCTCCTCTGCTGAGACCTTCATGCTAATGAAACAATGAGGAGAGCAGTACAGTCTGTGCTCATCCTCAGAGCAGTGTGTCACAACAGGGAACTCTTTGTGTAACATGAAACTCTTTAGCTCTTTCTACTGTGGCAGTGCCTGAGGTCAGGAGACCTTTGCAGGGTGTCAGTACCTACATGGTGGCTTTTGAAAGTGCAAGCTATGCGGGGCCTTGCTTTCCCTGCTTTCCACTGCAGCATGTGGGTCTGACCAGTGCATAGGTGAAGATATGTTCCCACACCTGTACTTCAACCCCACAAGGCAGCAAAACATGGAGTATGCCAGAGGCTCAGCAGTTTGGCTAGTTGCCCCCTACTCATTACAGTATCAAGCATTTATATATCCCCTTACAGTATTTTCTGATTCCATAATGCTAGTGGGATTTGAATGCAGATAATGTTTCTAATCTTGACAATCCTCTTGGCTCAGGACCTTGGGTCAGAGGCAACTGTAATCTAAGAACACAGCCCCTCCTCCTCCTACTCCTCCTCTGCATGCCTTTAAATTCATATTGCTTGAAGTCTTGGCCAGCCAGAGGCCTTGCCTTTGTGTCAGCTTCTATAGTGAGTAATTTAGCTTCAACAACTGCACAGGGAGATAGAGAGCAGAAACTGCCCTGCAAGAACTGGATCTTACCGATCATGCAATCCCTGAGACAGAGCAGGAGCTTTGAGCAAGCAGAGTTGGCTGAGAGGATGAGCAAAGAGCCCAGTATCTTGTAAGCTCACATCTCATGCACATTTTACATCCATCCTCTCATGTGCATGAAGCCTTTGCAATGCATACTTTCTAACCACAGGATCACAAGCTGTGTCCTGCACAGCCTTGGGAAAAAGAGGTGTGAGTTTGGGAGCATACCTCCTTTCTCCCACATCTCTCAGGTAACAGGCATACTTGAATTTAGGTAAGCGTGAGGGAGTGCACGACTCTCTGGGATGTGCGAGAGGTGCCAGCCCAAAGTGAAGCTTGAGTGCCACCAAGTAAGCAAGAACCACCTCATCTTGTATGGTGTCAGCAGTAACAGGCACTCTGAATAATGGGTGTGGAAAGACACAACTCCCTGCTGAACATCTCAGCTTCACACCCACTGTACCTATCCGAACTTAGGTGTGACTCTGGGAAGCTTTTGAGATTTAAGAAGTTGCATAGGGTCAGTCTGAAATCCTAGGTTGTACAGCAGCAGATATGTCACTGTCTGCCTGACCATGCTACTGCTGCAGCTACAGACAACACTGATTGTGCCAAACTTTGAATTTAGTGTCAGTTTGGCTGCTATAAATGGCAGACAAAATTCAGCAGAGAGGGTTTACAAATGGGGGTGGGAGGGGTGGCTGTCTCAGCATGGTCAGTTTTCTTTATGAAGTGGCATTCTGGCATTCTAGCCTGTATTTTCTTCCCACTTCTGTAGCACCTGCCTGGAACTCCCACAGACAGGTCTTTCTTAGCTGCTCAGGCTGGGAGACAGGTGTCTGAGGCATTTGGGTGTCAGAAAGACAAGATAAAAAAACTTCTCTTAAGCACAGGGAGCTTTCTGTTTCCCTATCTAGCAGTGGACGAAGAACAAAACTCCAGCAATGCAAGATGAGCAACAAGGGATGATGAGGAAATGTTCCACAAGCAATCTACACTTCTCTACTACTCTTTTTAAAGTTGCAGTTGATGTTGATGGTCAGAAACTGATTGATGAAATGATGATGATTTTATATCCCAAAATGTTGGGGTTTTATTTTCAGAAACAGTAGGAAGAGATGGCAAGTGTCTAGGGTATTTCCCCAAAGTCTTGAATCTTATGCAGGACTCATGCCTTCACACTATAGTTGGCTTCTCTGTTTTTTAAGCCAGTGGAGTTTCTTGGAGAGCAGAGGGGGTTATTTCTCCTTCCTGATGCTATGCTGTGTCCTCTAGCATTCCCTTGCATAACACACTAGTAATGTTTCAGGTTCTTGCATAATTCAGGCCAGTAAATTAGAAGTCCCGAAGTATTGTGATGATCAAAGAGCAGGGCCAGAAGCCTGCTAAGCAGTTGCCACTAAAGAAGTCAATCTGCTGGCAGTGAGGACTGAAGGAAAATAGTATTTCCCACCTTCC